ATTTGAATTGATCGTATAATCTAATCTCTCTATTTTCCTTGTGTCAGTTGGCTTCCACAATCTCCAGAAAGATAAATACAATGTTGAATTAATCAATCAAAACCTCAAGTCATGCAAAAACAAAATAATTCAAAACTATAAGATTGAATTACTTCAACAGTGCCCGGGGGAATCCTCGGGTAAGCTGATTTTATCCCTCGTATCGCTAGTCTCGGAAATTAAGAATCATTTTCCGCAAACTCCTTCCGTGTTCAAGCAAAAACCTTGCAAACTTGAGTCACATTCTCAACGATTCTATAGCGTGTAATAGAGTATAAGAGCAACTTCACCGTTGCAAAGATCTAGGGCTATTCACTATTTAATCCACCCAATGAACACTAATTGTGTCCTTAATGAACAGTAATTGCCTTTTGCATTTCCACCCCTACACTGAATAACCATGACAATAGGCAATAAAATATTAGTATTTTTATTTGTTTATAATTAATATTATAATATTTACTTTGTATAAATTAATATTATATTATTAATTTATCTTTTCCTTTTGGAAATCTCTTCCTATTTCTTGAAACTTCTACCATTTTTTTTCTTCTTCCTTCCCACTCTCTCACTCCCCTCTCCCTCATTGTCTTCCCTTTCTTCTCTGGCCGACCGTCTCCCGCCCCGCTCTCTTTTTCTCCCCCATTTCTCCCTGTTTTCTTCCTCAAAGGAGGAAGCTGCAGATTTTGCACCTGATTTGGATCGAAGGACCAATAGGTCTTTCTTCTTATTCCTCAAAGCAGAGAGAGAGCACTGCAAATTCGAAATCACAAATCAAATTTCTATTATAATTTATGTTTTACAACTCCAAATTTGATTTCGTTTTTTCCTACAAATTTTTGGAGAAGAGCACTGCAAGATAATTGACTTCTAGGTTTACTGCAGATTTTGATATTTTGTGTGCTTTCTGTTTCATTTTTCCAAAATCCGACGAGCTCCGTGACCAATCCCGACCAATCTCAACCACAGTTGTTACTCACAGTGGTAGAATCTTGTTCCTTTTCATTTTAGCATCATTTTTGTGCTTAAATTACAGTTTTTAATGGAGTTTTAAGTCAAGATTGAAATCGGGCTGAATCCTTGCCAAATATTCCGGTGTTCTCGAGCTAACGTCAGCCTTGCATCACGTGGCCTTTGGGCTCTCGGGCTGGCAACTCCTACCGGGCCTCTCCCTTGGGCCCACTCGGGCTCCATCGCCAACACACACTGGACCTCCCCACTCAGGCTCTCTGGCCCTGTTTGAGAGCCAGTCCATCGGGCAATAGCCCACTATGGAACTGCTCTAAGCGTCTTGTTCTCCTAGGCCCTAGGGTTCAAGAAAGTCTCGGCCACCAACCGTTCGATCTTATAGGGTAGTAAGAATTCGAAACAATGTAATCTATCACAACCTTTATGGATTAAAGGAGAAAATCTACGCAGCATTGCATTTTGTTTTCTAAAAACAAACAAAACAATGCATGTTTGATGTTATGAGATGAATTCATTACCATCTAATTAATCAATGAACTGCACATAATCTCTAAGTAAAACAAGAAAGCATGCATGCATAAATTTAGGAAAAACTAACCCGGAGATAGCCATAAAAAATGCAAAGGTTTTGACGTGCAAAGATTCGCAAAATAGATTGGTTGTCGTCCTCACCATGCTCATATCTATTTCTATCGGCCAACAAGCTAGGTGACATGTTTTCAAGGCGGGAAAGCTCGAGATTGAACTTTTCTCATAAATGAAAACAGACTCCCAATAGAAATTTGCAGTTTGAGGCAAATATGTTGACCCCAACTTCCATTTACGTTCTCTTCGAAAGCGGATGCGATTTACAAATTCTCCAGTCTCCCCGAAATGTCCATGTTGTTAAGAAACATTTTTACAATGTGTACATGTTTGATGTTTGGACAAGTAATTATGAGATGGGTGACGCCGATGCAATTTAGTATGCTTAATTTCTCAAGAGAAGGGAAAGAAGAAGCAGAAATAAATCCAGCTCCAAAGCACTGTCCAGAAACTCCACACGAGTTAGAGACAATGTGCAAAGTGAGTGCAAACAACTTTTAGCCATAACTTAAAAAGTTAATGGACGCCGAAACTGTCACTTTGAAAAAAGGATTTGCAAAGGGCGACTCCAAGCCAACAAAGCTTCCCGCTTTGCGGTAAGTGATAACATTGTTGAAGCTAAAGAAACTTAGCTATGAAGTTAGAGAGAGAAAGTATCAAAGAGGTTTTAGAGAGAAGAAGAATATTTGCAACTGAGTCTTTCTATTTCTGTTAACTTAGCCATTACAAGGCACTCCTCTACATAACTCAAATGATAAAATACAAATATCCCTTATATTCTAACATTCCCCCTCAAGTTTATGTTGGGAAGCCCCAAGCATAAGATTGGAACAATGATGCCTGAAAGAATGAGAACATAAACCCTTGGTAAGGATATCTGCATATTGATCAGTAAAGGATACAAACTGAAGAGAAATAATGCCTTGTTAAACACGTTCTATAACAAAGTGACAATCCACTTCAATATGTTTAGCTTTGGAGTGAAGAATCGGATTAGTTGCCAGCGCCATAGCTGAGATATTATCACAATGTAACATAGGAGAAACAGAACTCGAAATATACAAGTCCTTGAGTAACTATTGAATCCAAACAATTTCAGTAGTGGTAGTGGCCATATCTCGATATTCAGCTTCAGTAGAAGAACAACTGACGGTATGTTGTTTCTTAGAACTCCAAGAGATAGGATAGGAACCAAGAAACACCACAAAACCAGTTGTAGAACGTCTATCATTGGGATTTCTCGCCCAATCCGCATCTGTGTATACTCGAATATCTAAATCTCCAGGTCTAAAACAAACTCCTCAATCCATAGTTCCTCTGAGATATCTCAAAATCTTTTTTACAACAACAAAATGAGACTCCAATGGTGTGTGCATAAACTGACAAACATGATTAACTGAGTATGCAATGTCAGGTCTGGTGAATGTTAGATATTGTAGAGCCCCAACAATGCTTCTGTAATGTGTTGGATTAGAATATGAAGAATTGCTATGATTGAGTAATTTGTGATTGGGGTGACAGAGAGTAATGCAAGGTTTGCACTGAACCATATATGTCTTCTGCAGCAAATCTTGTATATATTTAAACTGATGAACAAACAATCCCTGTGAATGATATTCAATTTGCATACCTAGAAAATAACGAAGAAGACCTAAGTCTTTCATATCAAACTCCTTGGTCAAATGCTGAATCACAGATTGGACACTAGCATCATCATCACCAGTAAGTATAATATCATCCACATATAGTAATACACAGCCATATGAAGACCATCATGCTTTACAAAATGGGAAGGATCTGCATAAGAAGCTTTAAATCCCAAAGAAACCAAAAATGAGGTAAACATGTCATTCCAAGCTCATGGAGCTTGTTTGAGACCATAGAGAGACCTTTGTAATTTGCATACATACTCAGGATGATCAACATCAAAAAACCTTGAGGTTGAGACATATATACTTACTCCTCAAGTAAGCCATGTAAAAAAACATTTTTTTACATCGAGTTGCTTCAATTTCCAACCTTTAGTAGCTGTCAAGGATAACATCAATCTAACTGTTGTTGGTTTAACCACAGGGTTGAAGGTCTCATAATAGTCTAGTCCTGCTTCTTGAGAAAAAACCCTTGGCCACTAACCTAGCCTTATGCCTAGCAATAGAACCATCTGGATGCCTCTTGACCTTGTAGATCCATTTGCAGCCCAATAGATTTTTATTCACAAACACAAAATACATAAATTACGATAGTAAAATCTGGGAACACACTTTTTAAAAGCCACAATTGAAAGAACTTTCTTAATATGTAAAAAGAAAAAAGAAAATCGGTTTCGGGACAGTGCAAACGACATTGTTGATGACAAAATGGAGTGCTCCCAACTGTCGCATATGATGTTGCACTTTCATTAGTTTGAATCCACAGCTCAACTTCAACCTCAGAGAATTTTTTCTTTGTATCGAAAACACCATCTGGTACAACAAGTATCATAATATAATTGATTGAATTTTTTTTTTAATTTTATAATCAATTGTATTATTACACTTATTGTATCAAGCCATGTTCTCAACTACCAAGATTTTTTTTTAGCACATCGATATTTTTACACTAAAGAGAGAGGGAATTCAGTTAAGCCACACAATAGACAACTTAATTTGGTATCGAATTCTCCATCTATGAGATTCGAACTTAAAACTTCTCACTTCCAAATGAAGAAGAATATCACTAGACGGTAGTACTGAGTGACGACTACCGAGATATTAACTATTCATTCTTAGCTATTTCATAAGAAATATGATATATAGAAAAATATAAATATAAAAAATAAAAAAAAATAGAAAATACTCTGAAAAATCTGTCCGAACCAAAATCATTGTCTGTTTTTCTTCTTTTGGTGTGTTACCTTTTAGTTCCTTGATAGTACATACATGTCTGGTTTTTATGTTATTTGTGTACATGCGTAATTTTAAGAGACCGTTTAAGTATGAGAAGAGAAAGATTAAGATGTGAGAAAACCCGTCTCCATTGCAAACATCCTAAAAAATGTCGTATGGTACTATTGGGCCTGTTGGCAACTAATAAAGCTCCAATCACCAAATGTTGCTTTGTGCACAAATGATGGCAGACTGATGCACGAGTCATGAGTAGAGTGTACTCTTTGTTTATTTATTTATTCATCTTAATTAGTTGATATACTTATGCTTTTACTTTATAGACTTTTATTACCTTCGTGCTCTTTTCTTTTGCATAAAAATAAGCAATGCGCTAGAAACGTGGCATTAATTTATAGTCCAATTTTTTTTCGATAATAGTTTTATCATATGCATAATATATAGTCACTATCGTTACAGGTGCTATGTTTTTTTGTCTCTCTTTTTAATTTTTTTTCTTTTTGTTTATGTGTATAAAGTGGGTATTGTGTCTCTCCGCAGGGCTCCACTATTTATGTACGCAAGTGAATTATGTAATAAATAGGAAAGTATGCTGTCGTTATGAGAATAATTAAATAATTTTCCTTCCAAATTCCTCCAATAATAATCGGATTGGGTGGAGACTCGTTAAATTAACACCAAAACATTCCACATGGACGCTTATTTATATGTGTATCCTTGAAGCACAGTTCCGGACGCTTATTTATATGTGTAACCTTAAAGCACAGTTCCATGCCCTTGTAGTTGAGAGAGAGAGAGAGAATGGAAACAGCTGCTTGTGAACTGCCACAGTTAGAAGGAAAGCTCTCTGGAAAAGAAGAAAAAGAAGTTGAAACATGCAGTGATAATCCTAAACGAGGAGGGTGGACTACCTTCCCTTTTGTCACAGGTTCTCCCTCCATTTTTTACTCACTCTTTCATTTTTTTTTCTTAATTAATTCCTTACTTTTGTAACCGATTACTGATCTTAGTGTACATCAGTACATGTTATATTCAAATTAAAATGAGTCACTCTACCAATTAATTTTCTCTTACTAGAATTAAGTTGCTGTCGAACACATATATATGCCAGAGAATATTGCTCATCTTTAATTTTAATATGTTATCTAGGTTTTCTTGTTTATATTCTTTATGCGTTTTAACCAAAATGTCACTTTCTCTCATAAGTGTTAACGATTATATATCTTAACCAACTTAACGAAATAAGGTAACATGAGACACAAATAAAAATTCAAGGGTCAAATCACAAAATATTACAAGTTAAAAAAAAAGTAAGATTTTCGTTAAAGCACATAGGGAAGATAATAAGCAAAAGTAAGCCTATAATCTATATATGTGTGTACCTAATAGGGTTAATTTTTTTCTTCACCCTTGATTAAATGATGAGCGTACATACACATGCATGCAGGAAGTATGTTGGGACTGTCTATAGCAGCTGGCGGCTGGGCATCGAATTTGATAGTATTTCTGATGACACGGTTCAATGTGAAGAGCATAAGCGCTACAAAAATCAATAACATCTGTTCGCGTCAGGAATTTTCATCGGGGATGTTTTCTGGCCGACGAGCACACAGCTCCCCTGGAGGTTGGCGCCGGTTGAGGGCTGCTGTCGGGCTTCTGCTTCGCTATCGGGCTTTGTCGGGCAAGTCTCGTCGGGCAAGTCTTGTCGGGCAATAATCTTCGGGCAAGGCTGAAAGAGAAGGACAGCGTTAACTTTGAGAGGTGCCTTTGTGGGGCCTTAGGTGTAGGCCTTGAGGCTCACAATCAAGGTTAACTTTTAGGTGCTCAAGCGTGCCACTGCCATCTTCAGCATGGCAGATGTAAAATGGATGTCGAGTTTTAGTTGTATATATGTATATATCCGATAAACCGTGTTAGTTATAATAGGTGCCTTTGTGGGGCCTTAGGTGTAGCCCTTGAGGCTTCCTATTAATAACTAAACCAGTGCTCGAACACATCATATATGTTCTCGTAATTGCAGGAGTTTTCTAACTATTATACTTCTGATTACCCGAGTCCAAGAAGTAGAATGAACCCAAATAGGTGCCTTCGTGGGGCCTTAGGTGTAGGCCTTGAGGCTTCCCATCAGAGTTCGTTCTTATACTTAGACTCTCTAGATCGCAGAACGGAATGAATCCAAATGGATGCCTTTGTGGGGCCTTAGGTGTAGGCCTTGAGACTTTCCATCAGAATCCATTCCATGCTCAAGCGTTCTATGGTAATCATAACATAATAGAAATAAAACTAGAGGGTAGGTCGATTACTTGCGCCCCAAGTAACTTCGGACTTCTCGTTTATCAAGGACTGTCGTGGATGGGTTAAGTCCACATGAGGTTCTTTTTTATGCCTTGAGGCCAAGGACTTTTAACTGATCAGATTTACATGCCCGAGGGCTTAGGACTTGGATCTGGTTTGAACACTGAAGATATATTCAAATCGGATTCAAGTACTGAGAAAGCCTTTTAATAGTCATATTGCTAGAAATAACTTGCATATAACTGGAAATATACAACATATTGAAAAGACAAAAACAAAGCAAAGAAGGTCGGGCAAGGTTAAACCTTATCAGGTAAGGTTGCTCGTCTTGTAGGTTCCTATCTTTGTAGTTTTGTCAAGGGTCTGAAAGCTTAAAGGGATAGAAAGAGATTACAAAAAATGAATCGATACTACAGCAAGGTTGAACAGGGTAGCAGAGTTATTACAAAGGGTTGAAGGGAGGGTTATCCCGCGAGGGATGAAGGCTTGTCCCGAGAGGGATGAAGGCTGACTACAGCTTTGTTTTGAAGGCAAATATGGCTTTGAGCAGAGTTTGTGCTTGCATTTGTTTATTTGATTGAGTGTCTTTATTCCTGGTTTCTCTTTCTTCTTATATAGACAACTCGGCTTGGCCTCCTGTAGCAGCAGCCTTGCCCGAATGCGGTTTGAGGGTGATGACTCATCAGCTATTTTACATGTAATGCCACCATAAAGTACTTTATGGGCTGTGTAGCTGGTCAGTCTATACCACTTGGCCCTTGGGTAGGTAAGCAAGTGGTTTTTATGAGCTGCACTAAGTCAGAAAAAGGCCCTTTCTGCCTTCTGGGCTTTGACTTGGCTTCGGCTGTCTTCCCTTTCGGGCCTCCTTTTGGGCCAGCTCCTTTCTTGAGCCCAAAGTTCAAGTTTTGATCCAAACAGTGCCCTCTTCAATCAATGCTAAGGTTGGAATCCCAGGCGCCATCATTGATTGAATATCCGCATGCGTGTATCTCAATCTTTTGGAACTTCGTGTTTTCTAGACAGGATGAAGGCAACCCCGTGCCCCTTGCTCTTCTCACGACCTTTGAACTATCCTCTGGGGCTCTATAAATTCTGGCTCGAAATCTCTTCTGTCAAGCCATCAAATCCTCTTCAGCCTTCTCCTCCATCTTTCTCGAGCGTTCAGAAACTGAGCAATGGTTTCCTTAGGCTTTGAGTGGGGTTTCCTAAAACTCCATTTTCGTGAGAAAAATGGCTTTCATCAAAAGACTGCTATCTCTAACACCCTTGGTCGAACACCCCGCTATCTCCAACACCCTTGGTCAGGCGGTTTCCTCTCGAAGGCTTGTCTTCCCGCTTGTTGCGGTGATAAATCGGGCTTGACCATCACCTACGGTGATGGTCCTGTCTGAGGATCCTCTACCAGCCTCATGTTGGCCGCACAACCCGATCATCTGATCAGGTTCCATCCATGAAGACATCGGAAAATCAGCTGAAGATCCCATTGCATCCAGAAAGAGAATTGATTGTAATACGTTGGCTTATAACCTTTTGTAAATTTCATCAATTTGTCGAAATGAAATATATATTATCTCAGCAACTCTTGTCTTTCCATCTTCTTGAATGATTGATAATTATACACTGCACATTGATATCCCGAAGCTTGCCTTACCTTGCATCCTCTTCAATATAACAATCTCTGACATCCCACAACGTAGGACAATATTTCTTTAAGAATTTAACGTTAATGGGATATTTATGCCTGTTTCCTTCAAGGTCCGCCAGGTAGTATCCCCCTCTATCCAAAACACGACTAATAATGAAAGGACCTTCCCATGTCGGGCTCCATTTTCCAAAGCCCCTGAGCTGAGCTCCTAGAGGGAGGATTGTCTTCCATACTAAATCCCCCTCTTTGAAAGATTTCATCTTCACCTTTTTATTATAAGCTCGGGCAACGGCTCGCTTTCCTTCTTGAATCTGGTTCAAAGCTTCAATTTGGGCGGCATCCAAGTCTTCAATTCCTTGACATATGGCTTCGACATACTCTTCACTATGCAATCCAAATTGATTTTGAATTCTTAAAAAACTCACATTGATTTCCACGGGGAGCACTGCATCTTGCCCGAAAGTTAAAGCATAAGGAGTTGTCCCTGTTCCTGCTCTCTTAGAAGTTCTGTATGCCCACAAAGTGTTCCCCAGATTTTCATGCCATTTTTCTGAGTTATCAATCACCATCCTCTTGATAATGTTGACCAGGATCTTGTTGCTGGCTTCTGCCTGGCCATTTGATTACGAGTAGTACGGACTGGACTGGATCATCTTTATTTTGTACTTACTTGCAAACTCCTTAACTTCTTTTGAAATAAAAGATGGTCCACGATCCGTCACAATAGTTTCGGGCACCCCATATCTGTGCAGAATCTTGATCTCGATAAAATTCTTGACTGTGGCTGATGATAGGAGCATATTTATGCGACTTAGTTGGCTTGTTCTTGTGCATTTATGTCGTGTTTCCTTAGTTATTTTAATGTTTAAAGTCATTTTCATGTGTTTTCAGACTCTAAGTACAAAGTATGCAAGAAGATGCATTTTGGAGGCCTTTGGAGCATGTTTCGGGCTTGGAATGGATAGCAAATGCATGGGCCAAGTGGATGGACGAATTTGAGAACTAAAGAGGCCAAGAATATGAAGAATTATGGTCCAAAAGATGAAGAAAACAGCCCAAAAATCTGTCACCCCAACTTGCATTCCTTGCCATGCAAAACACATAGAATTCCCTTTGGATTCCCATGCCATGCTTGATCACTCTTGTCCCCTACATAATTTCTGATTTCATGCTTTAATTCATTTAATTATTTCACTCAATTGCTTGATACCTCTTGTTCCCTTCACCCATTAGATTTTAGACAACCTTTACATCCATTACATGCACCAATTGATGCTCCATCATTCACATTTGGAATCCAATGGCATGTGTCACACATGTTGTTGCACCTTTGACCCATTTGTTGACACATTTCACCTCCCTTTCCATCTCTATGCAATGTACACAATCATTCATGCTCCCTAGCTACAACACCACTCCATTTTACCCTTCACACTTTGCATCATCACTTCATTTTTACCCTTGGACCATTGCACACCACACACACCAACTTGCCATGCATTTCATAACTAGCCTAACCTGATTTTCTAAGGTTTTTGGGGCCTATAAATACATGTTTACACCCCTTTGCCAAAATATAATCCCCCATATTCATCATTTTATCACAGAAATTCGTCCATACACACCCTAGGAAGCAAAACACCCCAAAAACACCATTCTAGTGCCTAGAAAACATAACAGCCACTCCACCTTCTTCCACCCTCTTTGCCTAGTTCTCTACCACTCCCCAACCATCAAACACTCTTCCACTCTCACCCTAAACCCTTCCACAAAATTCCCCATCCATTCTACACCATAAATCCACCCAAAAATCTGTCCACAAGCTTCATGCCACAAGCAAGGGAAAGGAGGAATCTTGGATGCACTTGCTACCAAGTTGGAGCATTTTAGGTGTTTTCTTTCCTTTGATTTTAATGTCTTATTTTATGTATCTTTGCTTTGTGAGTATGAGGAACTAAACCCCTCTTAGTTAGGGGGTGATTCGAAACCATGTACATGCTTGCAATATGATTTGATTACATCCAGTTGTGATTCATAAGTTGTGAATTCAATTTACTTATCCGATCATATAAAAAATGATTTGTGTATGTTGGTTGAGAGTGCACGCTTAATTTTCATGCATGAATTTAACGCTAGAATATAAGGGAGTTTCACCTAATCGTTATGAACTTATATTCACAAGTAGTGAAGGTTGCTAGTCACAATCACGTTAAGTAAATTCTTGGCACTAGTTTCATGCTCATCATAGTTACGAATGCCTCGTCAACACTTATAGTTCTCATTGTGCTTCATGATTCTTGATTGTATCTTTATTGTGCTCATCACGTAAGGAACCTTTGAGGAATGCTTTGAATTGTTGTATGCGCTTTTCCATCCAATTCATTAACTTAAGGAGAACTTGAAGGTTAATTTAAGCGTATCTAATTAACTTGGGGTGTTGAGTTTCATAATTTATTGAAAGAACAACTGAAAATCATTTTGTTTGCAAGTGTGTCATGTGTGGAAAAGAACCTCCTAACTAGCCTTTTATCCATCCTTTTCATCCAAAAACGTTTTACAATCTGTTTTGTTTTAAAGTTTCTGTTTTGTTTTCAATTTTCGTCCAAAACAAATCCCC